GATAATAGCACAGCTTTGCTACAGTAATCAAATAAAATGTTTATTGTTCTTTTACAGAGATAAGAGCTCAAGCATCATGTTTCCAAAGGTAACCTGACGGTCAGATAACCCCAAAAGTCCACAAACACAGAACAAAAGTAACAGTTCACTGTTTTTGTTCTCAACCAAGTGGTAAATAGAGATAAGCTGCTTCTAGGGATGGACTGTTCATTGACTATCACAATTAGCAGCCACAGAGAGGTCTAGTCCTCTCAGTCTATATGAGCCCAAACCATTATAAAAACCAAACATCGCCCACAGTTTGTAAAAATTACTTTTAAAAATTATATTTGCCATGCTGGCTACATTTTTCTGAGAGATATAACCCCGAAATGCAGTTTTCCAAGTTCTTTTTTCCTAAGAGTGATGTCTTAAAGTTGAGCATACACTGTTTGAAGTGCAACTTTTCTTTTATCTCATGGGACTTGTAATCAATTTCATTGGATGACCCATGTTCTACTAGGAAAAGAGGGAGGAAATTCTCTCCCCATCCACATTATCCACACCATACAGAATTTTTATAAAACCTTTAACATGTTTTTCTTTAGTCACCTTTTTCTTTGGAAAATTTAAAACAGTTTCATATTTAAGATTAAATGTTAAAGCTATAGCAATAAGTTAGTAAACCAGCAACATGAGGCATCTGGTATCTGGAATCCCTTTTGGCAAGAACAACTAAATCCATCTGACAAGCCTGAAGTCTAGCTATCTATATTAGGCACAATAAAAAGAGACCATATATGCCAAGAATTATACAGGGTGGTGCCAACAAGGAATGTCTGAAACTTTTACTTATTAAAAAGGCATGAGGTTGCGGACTGAATTTAAGTAAAGGGCAAGATTACAAGGACTCCGGGCTTCTCTTCTGTACGTTTCAATTCGGTCAAAGCATTCAGATCCAAGTGCCAAAGATAGCAATAAAAGCATGTCATTTATTTTTCATTATTATTTCTAAAATTGTGTGGGTGAATCCTTTCAGAGCTTATGAAAGGGAAGGATTAATAGTATTTACTACAGCTATGCCGCCTCCATGAAAGCTTCAATTCATAGCTCCATCAAGTGAGTTCATTTCTGACCTCCAGCATTCCTGCTGAACCGAACTTTTGAACTTCTGCACAGAAGGATTTAAGGCTCTCTGTCTCTGTATGATACACAAGTGCTTCCATTTATGTCTATACAGAATCAAACTTAGAAAGACATGCAGTTATCTCAAAGTTGCATTGAGCAACACAAAATAGACTGCAGTAAGACATTTAAAAACGAATCAAATACATATAGCCCCATAGGTAAAGGTTCCCCCTGACATTAAGTCTAGTGTCTGAGTCTGGGGAGTGGTGCTCATCTCCATTTCTAAGCCAACGAGCCAGCATTGTCTGTAGACACCTCCAAGGTCATGTGGCCAGCATGACTGCATGAAGTGCTGTTACCTTCCTGCTAGAGTGGTACCTACTGATGTACTTACATTTGCATGTTTTCAAACTGCTAGGTTGGCAAAAGCTAGGGCTAACAGCGGGAGCAAACCCCACTCCCCGGATTTGAACCGCCAACCTTTCTATCAGCAAGTTCAGCAGCTCAGCAGTTTAACTCGCTGTGCCACCAGGGGGTCATATAGCTCCATACAGATCGCATAAAGTATGCTTATTTATTTTTATTATCCTATAGGACTCCAAAGTTTTTTGTTAGCTATTTAAATTTAATTGAAAGTTTTAAAAGGGACTGTATAGTATCTGCATAAAAAGCACGATCCCCTCTAAAAGCAAGAAAACATTTGTAAAGAGACATAGAAATAACAAATAACCTCTGTATAATATATTGAAGGCATTTATTTATTATCTCTCAGATTGTCAGTTTCCCTAGGTCAATGCACAAAAACACTTTCAAAAAGTAAAATGAATAACTAAAATAACCATGAAAAAGTGCAAATGCCTCTTTAAAACTTGCTTTAATACCAGTTGAAAAAAAAGAGCAGACACCCCTACTTTTAAAAGCAAAAGGATATGCAAAACAACACCGTTTTTCTGCCTGCCAGAAAGTCCAAAGGTGTGGACAGAGACTGACCTTCTTCAAGAGAATTTTCCCTGAATAATTACTTATTGTGTATCGCACTATCTCAGGTAACCTCATGAAATAGTGAGATACACAATATGTAAGGTGCACACAATATGTAAGGTCTGTTGATGATCTTAGATATCTGACAGATATATATGTGGGACATAGTGTTCCAGATACCCTGGCCCCGAGCCACTAGCAAGGAACAATGCAGAAAATCCACCTGCGTTTCTCCATTCTCCAAACAACTGTATCCTCCATATGTGATTATTCAGGGCAACATTTTAGTGCAATTACATGTAAACAGCCAAGTAAATGTACTTACACTCTTCAGTGAAATTTGCAAATGAAACTTTATGCTACATAGCAGTTATTTTGAAACATGGCCTTAATGTTTTCATTGCATAAGGCACTTCTACTGGCCTAATTCAGTAGAAAAAGTAGAAAATCCCCAAGTTACGAACATCCAACTTACGGACAACTTTCCACTCCCTCCCTGCCATGAAATCTTAGGGCCCTTCCACACAACCCTATATGCGAAAATATCAAGGCAGTAAATCCCACATTGTCAGCTTTGAACTGGAATATATGGCAGTGTGGACTCAGATAACCCAGTTCAGTGGGATTTTCTGCCTTGATATTCTGGGATATAGGGCTGTGTGGAAGGGCCCCATGTGATGAGTCAAATCATCCCAGTATCTTCTCACCACACTTCTCTTTTTTTCCTTCATGTCTGACACCACTTTAATTGTCCTGGCTCAAGACTATGCAATCCAGGGATTTGTAGTTTGATAAGCAGCCGCATTCCTTGGCAGAGAAGGCTAAAGACACTGTAAAACTACAGCCCCTGGGATTCTATAGCATTGAACCAGGGCAGTTCAAGTGGTGTTAAACTGCATTCATTCTAGAACATAGATGCTTTGAACAAAGAGAGAAAGCGGGAGAAGGAGAGAGAAACTTGGACATTTTAAAAGCAGCTAAAAAAGTAGGATAAGAAGATTCCATTTGGGACAGCTGGTGGAAAGGCATAACAGAGCACATTAGGGAAGCTCTTTGTAAGGCACCAGCAAGCCCAAATCATATGATTTTAATAAGGTACCCACAAGTCTGTCGACCACAACCACAACACCATCCACAGTACAGGAGTTATAGCATTATTCTATCTTCAGTGACTGTTCTTTCTGAGATTCTCTGTGAACCCTTGAAATATCCTATATAAATGTGGCTGTGAGAATCAAAGGAGTAAATCACATATGGGGGAAATAAATGCAGATACACACACGCACATCTATGCCTGTTCCAGGTGTACTGTGCTTCCTTTCCTCCAAGAAGCTCACAATAACTTTAGTTCTCCTTTGTTTCTCCCAGTCATGATTAGATACACTGACCACTATACAGCCCTAACTCAAGATGTCAAAAGGATCAACGGTTCTTCATCACTACAGTAACTAGAGGAAAAGCTGATGCACTGTCTCCAGGAAGCCAGCTAGGAACAGGATGTTGATTAACTTGGGGCAGCTGTCAGTGGAAGAAAACATACATGCATTTGTTTTGTTGTCCTTGGTGAAAATGGTGTGACAAATTCTTGAGAATTAGTAATAGAAGTAGCAGAAAAGAAAAGGGTTACATTTTAAATCAAGAAAAATTTTTCAAAGCAACCTTATCCAGAGTGGAAATAAATTAATTTGTGGGTTCTTTCAAACCATAGAATCACAATTCTCAAAATAGAAGTCTTATTCAATCCTTGTGGCACCCTCTTCTGGCAAGCATCTGATACAACAAGGGCAAGCTTTCAATTGTCAAGAGTGTTCCCACCACACTATAAAAACTTCCATATCATAGCTTCAACTGCCGTGGTGAAATCCTATGGAATTATGGGCTAAAAATTGGAATATCTCTGCCTAAATGGTAATTCCTAGGAATCCATATGATGTAACCATGACAGTTAAACTGAAGTCAAAGTGCTCTAAATTAAGTCATGTGAAAGACCACTTAGATTTGTTCTGGAACAAGTTACTATCTATTAAGTGGCTGCTGGGGACTGATTAGTTTGCATCAAGCACAAAGACAGACATAGAAAAAACAATCCTACAAAATAAAAGTTGTGCAAGATTTTATTCTATATTCCCCTGTTTAGAGCTGAGATAGCTCTGCAGGTCCTACGAATTGAGCTAAGATCTAGTCTGAATGATCATTAGGTCACACAATAAAATGGGCATACTTAAATATATCTGGGAAATGCTTTTTAAAAATTTAAATATTGTGCATCAGAAGGTTATTTATTTATTGTGTCAGATTGAAGGTACAGTTAAAAAACGTAAACAAAGTAAAAAAAATCTTGGCATTATGCTAAATGTCATTTGAGCAGAAGCTGGCCACTTGGACTTGCAGCATTAGAAGGTAATAAATGTAGTAATGGATATGTAATTTTGCTGAAATAATAAAAGGATATTCATGGTCAAACTCAGCAATGCCTTGCTTGGATGTTCTGATGTTATTCTAAAAAGCACTTGGAGTTTCTTTCCCTCACTAAAAGTATGTGAAAAAAATGCTCGCCAATTGACATACCATCAAACACAGTAAACTCAAACCAGCTGTTTGTTTTCATGGCACCTGCAACTGAGAGAACACAGAAAATCTCATTTCCAGGTGCCCTGAAATTGAGTGCCTCGGGAACGATTTGGTTGGGGCACTGTCTGGCGCAGAGGGATTGGCGTGTGTGCCATCAGTTATAACAACAATGCTGGAGTACCATCATCAAAGACAGAATGGTAATGCAAGATATCTGTCATTTTATCCCCCTCACAATTTCCCCTTCCCCAGCTGTAATACCATCATATCAGTTAGTTAATTATTAAATCAAGATAATTAAAAACTGAAATATAAGTGTATATGTTATTATTCAATCTTACCTGTAGAAAAGATGAGAACTGTGTTGTTCCAAAGTCCACGTGTCTTCAGGGCTTCAGTGATATTTCCTACAGCTTCATCCAGAATGGATACCATTCCTGCATATTTGCGTCTCTTTTCATCTTTAATGGAAGTGTATGGCCTTATGTACTTCTCAGGTACTTGAAGAGGCTCATGGACTGATTGCAGAGCAAGGTAGAGAAAGAGAGGCTGAAACACAAACGCAATGAACACAGGAAATCACAACATTAAATACAAGAACCAAAATAATGGTAGACAAACTTCTACCAGCAAATACTTCCTTTTTGAAGATTGAAGAGGTTCTTTTCGTGTTTCTATTTTTTTCTATTGTTTCTATTTTTTCTATTTTTTTGTACTTCATGATCTAACCCAGCCTTCCTCAATCGAATACCCATCAGATGTATTGATTGCAAATGGATATAGTAGCTGGCAGGTGAATCTATAGAAGCTGTTGTAGATCACATTGGGATTTGTGTACTGGATCAAAGAAGGCTCCTCTGTTTTTTATTCTTTATTACTTTGCCAGAAGATATGAGTTATTGGTTGATAAATATTTTTTTAAAAACCAATATGCTTCTACAAGCAAATCATGACTTCATGAAAAGATGGAATCCACAGCAAAGCCCTTGTTAGCTGATCTCCATGTGCAGAGTGTTTCATAAGACATTAGTAAGTACCTCTCTCATTTTAAATCCTTGTTTCTAACTAGATATTATTCTTGCATCCTATACTTGACCTCAACATTTAAACTTTTGGGAAAAGTTGTAATACAAAATCAGGCGATGTTTTTATAATAATTTGTCTATGAAGGAAATGCATGAAATTTTATTTACTCATATACATTTTTAAAAAGTGAGAACATTTCTTATTGTTTTCCCTCTCTATGTTGGCAGGAGGTTCTGGGAATTGTAGCTCAAAGAAGTTGTTTTCATATGCTCTACAGTTATAAGCCCATTATCCTAACCAATTAAGTGGCTAATTACAGAACCATAGTTTCTCAACATTTGTGGGTTAGAATTTGTCAGGTATGGGCAGACTTTTTTGCCTTGGGCTGCATTGCGGATCCAGCCGAGAGGGCTGGAACAGGAGGGGGGGTGGCACACACTGCGTGGGGAGGGCCAGGGAGAGGGCGGGGCTGCTCACCTCCATCCTTATGCCGAGAGGAACGCAGGACATGCAGTGACTGCTCCAATCCTCCTCCCAATCTTTCTTCCAATCCTCCTCTCCTGATCCTCAGGCTGTCCTCTTGTCATTATGCCGGGAGGAGGGTGAGACAGGTGGTGACTGAGAATGCTCTGGAAGGCTCTCAGCTGCCACATGCCTTCCTTGAGCTGTCCTCCTAGCATAAAGATGGGGCAGCTCGCACCATCCTTATGCCAGGAGGAGGATATGACACAATGTGGCTGAGAGTGCTCTCAGCTACTACATGCCTCCCTCCCCCATTTTTTTTGGCATAAAGATATGGTGGGCCGCTGTGTCCTTCTGCCAAGAGGACAGGGAAAATGAGGAGAGTCTGAGGTAAGCACCCAGGAAGCCGCATCCGGCCCCCAGGCCTTAGTTTGCCCATGCCTGGAATATATAATGTCGCTATTGCCACTGTTCTGTGCCATTTCATGGGGGACTTTTATAACACTGGTATTACTGGGATTCACTCAAACTCAAGGGCGATTGGACTCAGACTTATATGTGTTCCCTTACACTTTTACTCACTCAGGTGGGGCAGATGCTTATCACTCTTGGGACTTCCTATTAAGATCAGACCTGCCAATTCAGCCTCCATAAAAGGAGCTTCCACAGCCCTTTCCCACTGCCTTTGCCTTCCCCTCGCCCTCACCATGTCACCCACCAGCTAGACAGCAGGAGGACAGCAAGGGACACAGCTTCTGCAAAAAAATATCCTTCTGTCTTATTGATCTCTTTATCTTCCATCTCCTTGAGAAGAATGAAGACAATAAGTATGTAGCAGGCATGTTTGGGGGCCTCAAAATATTGGTGGTTTTCCCACTTTCACAGATATCCAGTGTTTAATTTTGCGTTTGATCAGAAATGCATCAAAATGTACAATCTAGAATCATGCTTTAAGGAACAGAGAGACAGGGTACCTTCTCAGGCTGATGATTTGCTATTAGGTCTTGAGCTCTTTGAGTAAATACATTAGTAGAATACATATTTTTAAATCCAGATGCAATTTCTTCTCCATCTCGAAGATCAAGAGCACATCGAGTTACATTCTTTGATACAATAGGCACACAACGCTCATGTGTGTAGTAATTTTCACTTCCAAGAAGGTACCCTAAAGCAAAAGGAAAACAGATCAATCATATCACAACATCAGACAAACAGGCATAAAAACAGAAATGACAGCATGAATCACAACTTCCTTTTAAAGTCAGTTGGAAAACACAGATTGTTGTATTTTCTATAAAAAGGGTGAGGAGTGCCTCAACAACATATTATAAAAAATCAAACTAATCAAAATTCATTTGGGAAGATATTTTGTACTAAGCATTACCCAAAACGATAAGGCCCAGAAATAATATCAACATATACAGGCTTGACAATGTAAGAATAACTTAAGATAACATTGTTGTGCTCTTTTTATTCACAGAATAGCATGATCAGAATATTTTTTTTCTCAGGCTAACTATGTGAACATTTCTGATCTGGTGCTGACACCAACTGGTGAATAAAACAGTCACTGTTCAGAAGCAACTATCACTATTTCTAAATTCATAATCTGCAAAACATATTGGCATTAGATACCTTTATTAGGCCAACTAGAAAGTATGAAAGACATTACACTAGCTGTCAAAGCTCGCTGGCTTCTTCATCAAACAAAGATGGTAGGGCGAAATCATGCAGAGGAAACAGAACTGACATTGTTTTAGTCACAAGAGTCTGCAGGTTGGCATCTTGTGGTTTTTGAATGTGACAGCGAGAGTGTACTCATGCAAGCAGAAAGCTTACTTCCCCCCTGCTCAAAATAAATGGAGAGGAAAAAAGGCTGTGAAAATATACCTTAGAATCTCATTTCTTTATTGTGTCCATAAAGAATCTTCCCTTGAGGTATGTTATGACCCAGAAAAGATCTACTTTGTTAAAGCTCAGTGATCTTCCCAGGAGGATCACATGTTGCCAGATCTAGAGACAGATAAGCAAATTCCTTTTCCAAATTTGGAAATTGAATTTCCAAATGTAATCCTTCAACTACTATTTGAGCATCACTTAGTAATGATGAATTAACACAGAGATGACTTGCTGTTGCTTTAAGGGGTAGTAAATACGCTCCTGAAATATTTTCCACTGACCTATGTGCATCTGTTAGCTTCTAATTAGGCCCTTTTGTAACATTTATGAAAGATATGCATGAGCCAACACAGATGAAAGATTATACCATGTAAGCCTTTCACTTCAGCAAGGTGCTTTATAAAACAAATACAATTTTTGCTTCCTTAACAATGATCACTATATTACTCCTGCACCTTTAAAATGTTTTTCTCTGGAGTTGCATATAGTAGAAACATGAGGCATTTCCCCCGATTCAACCTAGATAGTCAAAAATATATGGATAATATACATGTCTCCAACTTGATCATTATGACAATTATACTGGTCAGTTTTCCCCTCACTTTCCTCTTACTTTTGAAGGCTTAGATTTCATTCCTGTTATTGTTGGAAATACAATGCCGCTTAGAATTGAAGAGTGTACTCTAGTGAGCAGCAGTAATGGGGTGAGCAGCAGTTTGAGTGACCTGTATCACCCTCTCTATATGTCCTCCTATCCTGACTCCTATGATATAAACTAATACCCTTAGGGATGTTTTCCTGCCTCTTCTTCTTCCCATGATGCTTCTCTCAACCTTCCAAGATGGAGCTAGTTTAGATTAGCTCCCTGAGTAACTTTCCGATCTTGGAATTGAGTTCCTACACTAAAGCTTAGTTTGGTTACCCAAGGCATTGGCGTGCTTGCTCCTTAAATCAAGATCTCTAACCACTGAATCACTGAATGCACTCCTAATCACTATTTCAATTCTTAATACAAATCTGCAGTGAATTAATGACTGGCATGAACATCTGTAATACTTTAATGACTATTATTTCTTTTGACAAAAATCAGAGCACAGGAACAAAGTTACTTAGTAGCTGAATATCAATTATTTACCCTCCAGATATTTTGGATTTCATTTCCCCAAATCATAACCTGGCCATGCTGCCTAGGATTCTTGGGAAGTGAATAAAAATATATGGAGAGCCAGATCAAACATTAAAAAGATTAATCTAAAGCACAACTTGTGGCCCTCTGGGTGTTTTGGACTTCAACTCCAAGAATTCCAGATCATTGGACAAGCTGGCTAGAGTGTCTGGGACTTGATGGCCCAACACTTGCCACAGGTTCTGAAGGCCTGATCTAAAGCATTAACTTTGCTCTAGAAGGATAAGCCCATGTGCTAGCAAAAATGTCAAGGGTGGAGAGTTAATTACCAACCCGGGTACACACTGGCAGTAATTTTGCTGAACAACTAACCTGGGCTAGAAAATTCTAACTTCTGACTCCCATAAAACACCTGAGCTCTACTTCCTTACTGCTGTGCAGCTCTGCTTCTCTGAGTGTTTTCCTAGCAAAGCAAACTTCTCATCATTCAACTCTTCTATGTAGAATCACATGCTTTTACTAACACCTTGACGCAGTTGCCAAATTGAAAACTGAAGATATCTCCTGTATCCTTAATGGCTTGTAGAAGAGGGAATTCCAGCAGGTGTTGTTTGTCATATAACCAGGTAACAAACAACACCTGCTGAAATGATCTCTTCTACACAACTATTAGTTTTATAGATCTAGACGCCCTCTCCAGTGTTCATTCTAGCCTGAAGATAAGCTGTCAAGGGTGTTATAATGTTGTTAAAGCTATTCTAATTTTGGAAGTGTATACAGGTGAAACATTTATTTATGCTTACTAACATTGAGTAAACAAGATTTCTGAATGGAAGGTAGAAATAAAATTGAGTCGATCACCATAGATTGCATGTTTTGGTTTCATTATACAGTCAGCCATCTACAGTCACTGGGATTAGATGATAGTACTCCCACAAAAATGGGATAATGGTTTTCCACAAAATTGGGGAAACACTAATTTTAGTGCAAGAACATCTCTATAGAAATATCTGGGTCCTCCAGCATGACCCCTCCAACATCTGGTGGAAGTTTACCATAAGAGTAACAAAATCTTTGCAGCCTTGTTTCTTTGTCTCAATGTACTGCTGGCAGATGATCTCTATACAGTGTCCGCAGGGGAGAAAGACAGCTTCCCTGCTGTAAGCAGTCTAGATAGTGCAGGGAAGACTACTGGCTTCTCTCTTGTTTTCATGTGTCTTGCTACACTATACAAACAACAGCTTCACCTGTGTACCCACTCCACTTACAGCTATGGCTCTTCACTCGACTGGGTCTGAAAACTCTTGAGTTAAAGAGAGTGACAATACTCAGTGATTTTAGACTTAACCGAGTGAAGCACATAGCTGAAAGGGAAGCGGGCATGCAGGAAAGGTGTTGTTTGTACAGTGCATCAATTCGCATGAATAGGGGAGCCTGGAATCTAGTTAATGGGTTATTTTATATTGTCATAACTATGGTTGTAAACTGCCTTGAGTCGTTGGAGAAAGGTGAGATAGAAATGTCTCAAATAAATAAATAAATAGTTTACAGCAGGGAAGCTGTCTTCCCCCACTGGCTATACTGTACTATATATAAATTATCTGCCAGTAGTAAATTATCATGCACAAAAGTTATTTGTGATCATGAATAAGGGAAAATACATAATACTGGCATGAACTTTTTCATCGCGTAATGGTTGCACCTCTCTTTTTTCAGCCAAAAAAAGGGCATAAAATGCAACTATTCCAATAGATCTCCAGTATAACCCAAACAACCCAACATCAGAGAACATTTCTCTGGTCACTGATTTATGTTGATGGTATTCAACATACTTGGTTTAAGACTAGTTTCTATGGTCTTCATTTCATCACAGTGAAGGTAAGAGCATTGGAAGACCATAACACAGCAGTAGCTTAAGACTAGATTTAGAGCTCTAGATAAGGATTTTTGAATACAGAATGAAAGGACTGTGACCCTCATATTAGTCTTTAACTGCTCACAGACTCAAACCAGTAAAGCAAACTAGTACTTCCATCATTGCATCAAATTCACATGTAATCACTATGGCAGCATCCCAGAAGCTATGTCTTAAAGGGGAGGGAAGGCAAAGTTAAATGTCCACAGATAATCAGATTGTTACACTCATGCAAATCATCATTGCCTTTCCTACGTGATTACGCACAATTTCTCATTTCCTTTAAGACAGAGGAGTGAAACTTGTAGCTCTCCGGAAGTTACTGGATGCCTAGTCTCCATCATCCTTGACCAGTGGCTATGCTGGGAGAAGCTGATAGCTAATGGGATTTGGGAATATCTGGAAGTTCACAGATCCCCCAACTTTGCACTAAGTAAACTATAAAGGCACATCAAATTCTAGAAGGTGGTGGTATCCTAAAGGAAGGAGTATGTGTGCTACTTACCAAAATAGGTATCAAACCCTCTTCGAGTTGGAAGGCATTCCTTTCTGTACATTCCTAGATGCCACTTCCCCACCATATGAGTAACATATCCTGCCTCTTTAAGAAGCTCAGGCAGGAGTTTTTCATCCAGTGGGACACAGCTGGGCTGACATGGCCAAATTATTTCATGCTGTAAACCTGTATGGATCTAATGAAAACAAGTGTACTTTACATATTGGTTACAAGAAAATATGGCAATGCATAAACACAGCACTATCTGCAGTGACATATTTATTTCTAGAGGAGAACCAATTTGAACACTCCTAAATCAATCAACGCAAGTTCACATGAGAGATGTTATGAAGACAAACAGCAACACACGCTGAGGAGGGTGGCAGAGGTGGGGCGCAGATCATTTGAAGATAATTAGTGTACATTTGGAAGGCACCCATGCTGCGCACCCAATTAAAAGGAAGCAAAATACAGATGTCCCACTTTTTTCATTTTGGGCTGAGGCTAGATATTGTTAAGGGAGGAGTTGGGACCATCATCACTCAGGAAATGCAGTGAAGCGAAAAGAAAGGTAACAAAACTGAGGTTTGTCTCTGACAGAAGGCAGAGAGTGGAAAGATGGCATATGTATAGGGAACAATGGCCTAGCCAGAGAGATAGGGAAAGATTGTGGAAAGCTGTAATAGAGATAGGAGGAGTCAGCCAGGGAAAGAAGTAAATGGTGTTTTGAGTTGCTGTTAATATTTAAATATTTCAGGGTTTAATGTAATAGTAGTAGTAGTAGTAGTAATAATAATAATAATAATAACAACAACAACAACAACAACAGCAATCAGTGCTGACAAAATGACCACCTGCCAGCTGCAAAAGGCCACCCTACTGGGACCTGCACGCATTGCTCACCGATATATCACACGGTCCTAGACACCTGGGAAGTGTCCGATGTGTGATCCAATACAACGGCCAGCATAGCGACCTTGTTTGCTATGTACTAATCTTTTTTATGTTTCAAATATAATAATAATAATAATAATAATAATAATAATAATAATAATGATAATGATAATAATAATCTTTATTCATATCCTGCCCCCTCTTCTCAGAGGGACTCAAGGTGGCTTACAACAAAAAATAAATAACATGAAATTGTATATTAATAACTTTTTTGTTCTCTTCCTTTTACAACTTTGTTTAGCTATTTGTATTAAGTTTGATAGAGGGTTTCATCATGCTTGCCACGGGGAACCCCTAGGAACAACAAGTCCACATAAGGATGTTTTGTTTCATGACTAATATAACAGGTTTTGTGTTTTATTTAAATTTAGTTGTAAAGTCATAATTTGTTTTTATATGTTGGGTTGCCAAATTTCATTACTGTGTGTGTATTGTTGTTGTGTTTGAACATTGAATGTTTGCCTTTTATGTTTGGAATCTGTCCTGAGTCCCTCCGGGGAGATAGGGCGGAATAACAACAACAACAACAACAACAACAACAACAATATCATCCGAGGAATCTGTAGGGGAAAGGTGAATGACAGGAACCCAAGGATTTAAACTTTGACATCAGGCTAAAGAAGAGATCTATCACATATATCGATTTGCCAAAAGAAGCAAATGGAAGCCAACCTCTTCCATCCCCCTTCTTCCCCTTAGATTTCATACAATGCTCCCCTAAATATTAAGGAACCCTGGTGCAAAAAGTTGGAAGGCTGGAGGCAGATGAGGAAGATGGGAAATGAGAGATGCAGGCACTTTTCCCTCTAATCAGAGAAGATGCTTCTTCCTGTTTTACTTCTATTCAACAGATTCACCAATATTTTAAGGGATTCTATAAGCAGCATCTGTTTGCTCCCTTTCATGATGAAATATCTGGATCTGACCCACTGGAATTACTGGGTACTTGACATGAACTGAAAATGGAGCCATCATTCCAGCAATGAAAACCTGATTGTGTACTCATATAAAAACAATACCATATGGGAACCGTAACAAAACTGTGTCTCTTTCCTCCCTGTTTTTAGTGAAGCATTTCCTCTTTTTTTACTGATGCCAAAGTAACCACCAAAGTAATTTGCATTGGAACCCGTGCAAATACTTCTATTCATTCAGTCATATAATGTGGGCCAACATTCATAGATCAATGAAACACATGAAGTCTTTGAAGTCTTCTGAGCTTCTAAAAGTTAGAAACCTCAAGAATAAATCCCCTATTTATTTATTTATTTATTTATCATATCAGAAGCGAACCGAGGGTACAGTTGTAATGTATTCAAAAATTGTGTTTTAAAAAACTTGGCATTATACTCAATGTTCTTTGACCAGTAGCTGACCACTTGGAGTGCTACTGGTGTTGCTATAAGAAGGTCCTCCGTTGTGCATGTGACAGGGCTCAGACTGCACTGTAATAAGTGGTCTGTGGTTTGCTCTTCTCCACACTCGCATGTCATGGACTCCACTTTGTGGCCTCATTTCTTAAGGTTGGCTCTGCATCTCGTGGTGCCTCCCCCACAGGATTGCAACCGATCTGGGCATCCCTTGGGCAACATCTTTGTAGACAGCTGATTCTCTCACACCAGAAGTAACCAGAAGCAGCCAGAAACAATACATCCTCTAATAATTTGGAGAAGGAGTGAAGGCTATACATTCATAAATCATTTGGAGAAGGAGTGAAGGCTATACATTCATCCAAACATTTTACATCTCTAAACGAAATCGTCTCTTCCCACCCAAATCCATGTTCACACAACCTTGTGAATGATATTGCAAACTTTTCACAAAGTCATTTCCTAAAACTGCAAGTTTTAATTACATGTAATTCTGTTTCCAACTTCAGGACAGCAAACCAGAGGAATGACAAATACTTGTGTTTCGTTATTCCAGTCATGGCTCCATTAACCTATTTTGGAAGACAGCACTTAAAGAGGAATACCAAATGTCTCACAATTAACCAAAAATAGATCATGTAGTAAAACAGATTTTATGCCAGCCAAACATAATAATTGGAAGAGCTGAAGAGCTTGAAGATTATCCAAATGAAAGATTCTTGCTGGCTCTAGAAAGCACAGAAACAAGGAGCTACTGAAACTGAACATAAACATAAAATGGAAATGTAAAGTTTTTTTAAAAAAAAGTATTGTTATTGCCAGACTACCAGAGCATATTATTTGCCTTCATTTACAAATGACCCATCAACCATTCAGCGACAGCCAAGCGGAGCATTTCATGAATAGCCAAGTTATTCAAAATTTTAAAGAAAACAGAGCATCAACTTTCATTGCTTAGTGCCTCTCATTCAAATAAAAAGCACTGTCAAATACATATTATGCATATTGACTTTATTTAAAGGGTGGAATGGAGGTGCTGCTGTCATTTGGTTATGTTTTTCTTGTGGGAAGTGTAAAAAGGAAACCATAAAAAATGACACAGTACTACTGATCTGATACTTCATAACTGATTTATGGTCAGTTATGAGGCAGGAAGACCAGTAATTATCACTAGATTAATCATTTTCTAAGTTATTATGTTTTAATCAAATCAGGATGGAAAAACAAGCACCATTTGCATTTGGACTATACAGTTCATGTTAAAATGCTACAAAACCATCAACTTGTTTTCTTCAGGCTCTCCAGACAGAGCATTTTAGCAGAAATAGATGGTGTGTCATTTGTGAGGGAGGGAGCAAGCATCTGGTGTAAGGTTTTCATGAACAAACAATGGGAAAAGTCAGTATTAACAACCAATGCAGTAAAATATCAATTTTCAGTTTTGATTGGAAACCAGATGGCCAGGCTGAACTGACATGGGGGCTCTTGTGTCAGGAAATTAAATGGCCTACAAGTCCATGTGTGTTGCTGCATAAATTTGACTAAGACAGAAGGGGGAAGTGGAGATGGCCAACAATCCAGTACTACAGATCAAGTCCTAAAACTGAGTTTTCTTTTTTTTATGGCTTATAGTCAACTGCTCTGCCCCGCTAGATCCAATAGATAAATGGGAAATTGAGTCATCCCACTGGTTCAATTACTTGGCTCCAGCTGGGATGAACAACGAAATGTCAATGTAACATATACAAGCATAAACAAGAGGAAAAATGAGTGAGAACAAAAGGTTAAGAGCCACCCACTATTCATAGCTTTTGCTTGTAAAGAGACTGCATTAAGTAGTTAAAAGTACAAGCCATAGAATAGATTTCGTTTTCAGTGGATGGTATCACTGAGCTTATGAAAGGCAGACAGCAAAGTATAACTCTTTCCAAAATAGCATCTGTTAACTTTCTTCCATATCCATGTACAGTAGAGTCTCGCTTATCCAACCTTCGCTCATCCAACGTTCTGTATTATCCAATGCAGTCTGCCTCCCACCCAGATGCACAGATGTGTCAATATATTGCAATGTTTTGGTGCTAAATTCATAAATACAGTAATTACTACATAATGTTACTGTATACTGAATTGGTTCTCCTGTTGAATTGTTCTAAAACATGATGTTTTGGTGCTCAATTTGTAAAATCATAATGTAATTTGACGTTTAATAGGTTTTTCCTTAATCCCTCATTACCCAACATTTTTGCTTATCCGACAGTCTGTCGGCCTTTTATGTTGGATAAGTGAGACTCTACTATATATGCCTTTAAGACCCATTCAGGTCTAACTTCAAAAAATACTCTGGACAAGAACTCTCAAACCATTTTATGGGACAGTTGAAAACATGTGAACTAAAGCTGCGGGTTTTTTATGATGTGCAACCAGATGGTCAAAAATACACAGATAATGTTCAAGGACACATGGATACAACTGGGGTAAAGGGAAGGATATTGTCAGACTACCTTCAAAGAGTTTGCAGGAGTGGGAGGCGGCCAAGGGAACAAAGACTTTAAACTTTAAAATCCAACTCTTTTTTAAAAACAGGTATTTTATTTATTTATTTATTTTATTTGGAGTGCTTCTATCCCACCCTTCTCAACTCCCTAGGGGGGACTCAGGGCGGCTTACAAAAAAGGCACAATTCGATGCCCAACAATTCACAAAGTACAATATACAATTTACAATTTAACATCAACAATTGTCACTAGTTAAAACATCACATCAATACAATAACAGTAATAACAGGTAGTACTATTTACCTTCTCTATAGCCTAAACATAAGGTCTGCAATAGAACGTTTTTGTTCCAAATAGTGAATAATTAAGAAGAGACC